CTTAGGACCACCAGATCTTGTGGTCTTTAAGCAAATTCTGTTTACTATATCACATAAGGTACCTATGTATTTCAGTGTATTTGCTACCTGTCAAGAATGCTCTGAAAAATATCAACGCGTTAAAAGTAGCTCTCAGAGACCCAGTTTTTTATCAAGGATTTCATCAAAAGCATCGGGAATTCTACTCTCCTCTTTTTGTAGAGTTTTGAAAATGCAGATAGTGCTCATCCTCACTTTCTGAAGTTTCAGCAGCTAGCCTGTAATATAACCTGGTTCGGTATTAGTTTGCATTACTGAGTGCAATCAGTCTTTTAAACTGACCCATTTTGAATGCTGATTTTTACGACCACAAAAACTTAAGGTGAACTTAGTTCACACTAAAGCGTGTTTCGAATTCATACAAGTGCTAGTCTTGAATTTTCTTACGTCATCTGTAGTTGACTGCATTATGGTCTGTGAGTTTAGGCTTGTGTGGCAGACACAGGAAGCGAGTCAGCACAGGGACAACGGCTGAGTCAAAATTTAGTGCTGTCTGAAATCAAGTTTTCATCTATTTATCTTACATGGAGCTGACTAGTTGTCATTGGTTAACTTGAAGACCCTCCTGTGGTTCAATACGCCTGACGTTTGTATTGAAGTTCTGCGCTAGCACTGAGATATCCATCGGGTGTATCTGGTGCAGAAGGTTAGTTGGTTGACCGTAGAACTCATTCTTAACTGCATTCAGGCTGCAGCCAGTCGGGGAACAGACAAAGAGGAAGAAGAGACAGTTTTTCTTACAAGTTACTTCTCAATGTATTTGAGCTTCCTGACCTAGAAGTAAAGGACAACTTTTGATGGCATCTGAGTCAACTTTGGTAGTTTATCATCTGACAGTTAGGGCAATCAGAGAAAAAGAGGTCGGGTACTAAGTGGATCTTTGAGCCGGTAGACGAGGAAGTTATTTTGATTATCTCATTGAAATCTTATATGCGGGTTTCTGCTATACAACCTACATCAAAAGCAAGTCTATCTAAAGTCCTAATAAAACATGTCCGTTGTACGTTTTGCGCTAAGATCTGAAGTATAAAGATGGCCAGCTTTAGAAGTCCTTATAGTTTCTGAGTAGTTTTACTAGATATCACGCAATCTGACAGCTTTTTGTAAGCAAGTGTCTGGTGACTTGAAGCGATTCCAAAAAGGTAAGAAGTTTAGTCACTGACTAGTAGCTGAGTGAAACGAAGATATATGTAAAGATAAATTAAAAAATGATAAGGAAAAAAAACTTTAATTTAAATGCAAAAGGAATGGCGATATAAATACAAAAGGAATATTTGATCGGATAGTTTGCTGATCACTAGATTTGATTCTCCTCATAGACATTCAGTGAGCACTTAGCAGACTTCATTGTTAATACCGACTCATCAGTTGCATAGGAGCTTTGGATGCCTAAACAAAAGCAAGCTACTGTCTTTAAAATCTCTTCTCCTAACCTCTGACTGAGCATCTGATCTACAAGGCACTGGAACAACGTAAGGTGATTCCTGGTGACGAGGCTAGATTTGCATGTTACTACTCTATTCTGGATAGCGGAACATTATCGCTTTCAACTGAAGGTTTTCCTTCTCTCTCGTGTCAAACTATCTTTATACACTAATTCAGTTAAAATACACAATTATCAACCTTATTTTATGGAAACGTTCCTTGCCGTCAGAAGGCAATGTGTTCGATCTCTTCAGCGGAAAATATGAACTTGAGCCACATGAAATCATTTTGTTAATGTCTCAAACGAGAGATATTTAACTTCATGAGTGACTGAAAATCAAGTTATAAACGAGACTTTCAACTACTCGAACTTTATGCTGACCCGACTGACCATTGATTCTTGTCAGCGTCAGATGAGTGAATCCTTCATTTTCTTGAATTAAAAGCCTTAAAACATTTGCAAAGAACAGCGGCCTGTTTAGACTTTGGGCTATCAAAATAAGGCGTTTTCCACCGCGTATATTTCATCGAATTCTCCCTTTCTATTTGTTCTAATCATTTAGATGTATCTTTTAAATGTATCATGTACTCTCGGTTCTTTTTATTTTTTTATATGAATGTCGTTTCTCAAGCTGAGAACGAAGTGGAGGAAAAACGTTACACCGGATGGGAATGGACGTACAGATGCTACTGATCACGGCGGGCTGCTTGAACCTTAGGGTACCAAATTTATCCATCGAACATTTCTCAGCAAATTCTTTCCTTTCAATTTGTTTCATTTATTTAAATGTGTCTTTCCAATATGTCATGAACTGTTGCACATTTTTAAACTGTTTTCAACTCTCCGTTTTTCGAGTCAATAACAAGGCATAGAAAAAATGTTACATTATATGGGAATGGACTATTCTGTGCAAAGATAAACATCACTTTTCTATCCATCAGATGCTTAGCTTGAGTTGCAGGTTTTTGTATTATCTGAATAAACCACTACCACCATCACTACCAAAATTAAGCTTGCATTTCTATTGATTCTTCATTATGGAGCGGATGCCTACCCAAAACCAGCTGGCAATTTCACATTATTGCCTTAAATACTGTAATATTAACATTCCAAAGTAATAACGTTTTCGTCTCAAAGGATTGTTCTGGGAGTGAATTTGTTGAAAAATTACATCCTGAGAATTTCATACTGCCATACATATTGTTTGGAATACAGCGTTTATTATTATTATGTCAAAAAATGGAGTAGAATATTATTCCCAGATTGTTTATATCGAATTGCAGATTTTCGTACCGGCTGACTGAACTGCCATTACCATAATTACACTCAGAAATGTATTCATCTCCAAGCTAGCCTCACACCGGCTATTCATTTCACATTATTACCTTTAATAACGTTATTAAGAACCCTATTTAGATGTAATTATATCTTAAAAAATATTGTACTTGGAGTGTATTTGTTAATATATTACAAGCTTAAAATTCCAAAATGTACTACACATTATTTTTAATGTGCTAAATACGTAATAATACCATGTTCCGAAGTTATCCCCAGTCATGTATTCCATTAATTACCACTTCAGTAATTGAGCGAAAGGAACATGCTTTTAGTGTACTGTGTTTAACCATTAAAGGTAAGATTTACATACTTGAATTTAGATTCAGACAACTAAAAATTAGTATTAACGAAGGGAGAAACAATGCAGAAATCAATTCAAGTTGTTTACTCCTTGTGACTGTGTTTACACAAGACGACTGTATTTATAATAAATCTTGTGTGAAATAAATGGTGTTGGTTTTCTTAACTGATCAGGACATACTCGTGTGTATATGGGTCCCTTAGACAAAGAAGTAAGCATTCATCATCGAAACTCGATAAACCCATCACGTTTTGCGATATTTTTCTTTCCCAGTCACATTAAAACTGAAACGCTGTTGATTATTGTGGCGGAAAGCAAAATCTTGATTTTGGCCGTTGGATGACAGAATGTTTGTTTAGAAAGGGTGAGTAATATTTGAATACAAGCAGAACGGGTTTGTTATTTTCAAAATGTTTACTGAAGAGACACACAAAAGACTCAAAGTTAATTACATAAAAGTTTCTTACGTATCTCATATAGACAACTGAACCAAAAAGAAGTTAGCTTTGTAGATAAAAAAGAAACTGTTTCTTTTGGAAAGATTATGATGTAAACATAAGTATAATAAATTTACTTTCGGTTTCGTGGGGATTTTATCTGTAAGGTGGTATTCATTACTGACTGACATCAATTAGAGAACCCCTGAAAACGCGACAGCACTGGACAGTTGTTTTATCCTGGAGTGGGACTCCTCATCAGTACGCAAGCATAACCACAGGACCTTTTGATATTCCAACGAGTGCGTTAACCTAACATACACCAGATCAAATATAAATGGCTCATAGCCATCTATAACTGTCATTTTTTGACACAGCACGAATGTCCGTTAGTCAAGTGAAGCGGTTACTAACTGAAAAACTTGACGAATAGTCACACTGTATCACAAGCTGATAGAAGTAAGTGATCGTGGGAGGACTGAACTCCAGTTTGTTGACAGAATATTCAACGCGTTCATAAAAAGATCGGGGGTTCCTGAGTTTGATCTTCTTTGGAGCTCTGTGAGTGTACGGCTGGGAAGTCTCAAGCTCAGACAAAACGTGTGGCCAGTGCTCGCAGATTTTCAATGCTTTCCTAACCTGTGTTAGTTTGTTATGTATACTACATCATTACCAAAGTGTTTTGCAGCTAAAATTACTTTTTATTGTTGAGACTTAAGACCAATAAGTTTAAGACACGAGCAGAAACTTCCGATTTCGTTGTATCAATTTAATTGTTGCATTAAAATAACAGTATGTTAATCACGACTATTAGAATAGTGCGATTTCATGACATCAAAAAATCCATAGAGCTGAAGCCTATAAAGTCATTTTTAACTAGGTGCATATCAAATTTAGTTTATGTCGGAAGCAATCGGAAGTATCAACTGTTTAATTTACCCTGATAATGTGACTTTAACTTCTGACTCTTTACCATCACTGTAATAATGTTTTCTAAGAAGAGTAACACATTTTAGATTAAATTGCTTTATTTCCAACCAGTTTTAAAGAGTGACTAATCGAGTTTAAAGTTTGTCGATTGCACATAGATTTATGGATCTTGAGTACTCGTAGATAATGAGAAACCAAGCAACCTGTATTTCGAAAATTTTTTATCTCTCAGACTGTATATTTAACTGGTTCTTTTGAATGATGCAGAATATTTGATTTTTGACTTCGTGTCAAACAGATAATAAGGCATGCTGATTAATGGTGAATCAGAGAGATAGAAGCAGTTGGAAGTGTGGTTATTGAAGCAAATGAAAATCTTTCCTTAAGTTCCCAGCATGTATTTTGTGTAGTAATAATAATAATATAATAGTGTTAATATTATAACAGTGTAATAACATAATAGTAATAATAGCTTTATTCTGAAAGCTATTTCAGGAATGCTGTACAGAATTTTCAGCATGCCATACAGCACCAATAGGACAGAGATAGCTTACATGAATACATAGCAGAATGAAATAAGTGTAAATTACATTAGCATAAAAAAAGATAAGAATATTCACTCTATCTGCAAGTTTCTTCAAAATGCACAGTTAATTTATGTAGATAATTACATTAGGAATTAAATTCATGATACATAAATAGTAACATGCTTGTTATCAATTAGTTTACTTTCACAAACGGAAGTTGATTATTTAGTTCGTGCCTAGTGCTTTCTTCACTGCATAACAGACGAGCTAAATACGGTATTGTAGAGTTATTATATTTTGTAGTATGTGCATAAAGTCTTATGTACTTGCTCTTTTTCTTCCCAGATAACCGACACGCAGAGAGCTTCAAGTGAAGAGAATGCTGGGCATCTGATAAAATAACTCCTGCCAGATGTTCACATGAGTTAATGTGTTTGTTCACAACTGTTTTAACCAGAAGTTTTAGAAGTACACCACTAGTTCTGTTGACGATCCTCAAAGTTCTGGTCAATATAGCATAGTCCTCTTTCAGTAACCCTGGAAAGAATGGAGGAGAACGATAGAGAAATAGAGGGAAGATGCAGGAGTCTATAAAACACAAAAGGAGTGGCTGAGTATCACCAGACACTCTCCGTTTCATAATATAGAAGGTCAGGCGGAAAATTCTTTTGGAAATTAGTAAGATATGGAAGGACCAAGAAAATTTTGAATAAAAACACACACTGAGATAAATCACACTTGTAACATCCTCTAATACACAACTATCGATAGAAGAGGAGTTAAGAGAACTAGGAAGTTTACATAGGTTGTGTTCACGTCGAAAACTAGAATTTATAGTCTAACATTTTAAAGAATTAGGCATAAGTCTATTCACGGAGGACTATCGTATGACAGTAGATAGGAAACCACTCATCTGGGAAGAATCTGATGAAGAGAAGACAGGTATGGCAACTGTCAGGTCATCAGCATATTTGATGAAATTGATACTAGCTTGAGATGGTAAGATGCAGAAAGAAAGAGAAAAGACAGGGTGGAAGAACAGCTCCTTCGGGAACACCAGTCACAGTAAGCAATGAAGTAGAGCGATTCCCTCTGTTTGGTGTGTTTAAGTAGAATATATAACGAAGGAGACTTGGCATTGGTAACTGAAGATTTCATACTGCGAACGTTGTTTGTACTGACTGGAGGTGATCTAAAAAAACAGGAATATTATTTTATAAAAATTGAGTTGTGAAAGTTGAAAACTTTCGGATTTCAGAAAGACTGATTTTTCTATGCCTATTTAGGAACAAACATCACCATACATCTTATAACGAGGTCACTGGTAAATAGTAAATGAACATGATGTGGTTTTCGTGATGGTAACTTGTGGTGGTATTCTGTAGGCATTTTTTGCCCTATTTCGGACTCACAAGATGCGCTAACTTCCATCTTAGTGAGTGATAGTGCTCTCATTGAGGTTAACAACTACCACAAGCCTTTCACTGCATTAGATTATCACTCACTAGGCTAGTAACTCACCAAAGTTATCTCTTATACAAGGGATGACAGCTGCTATTCATTGATACCCGTTGTTTGTGCTTGATTACTGTATTATACTTAATTGATTAATCTTTGTTGGAATATTTATGCAAATTATGTACATCATAATAAATCTTCAGGCAATATCGAAGAGTCCGAAAAACAGCTCACAGGCTAAGAGAGATCAATCAACTCCACCTTATATAGTAAACAGAGGGAAATCAAAAGTATCAGTAAACAAAATCCGGTACGCATTGCACAACCTTGATGACTAAGTAGCTTATTGGATAACTCTGCGATGTTTACTGTGTTGAATGCTGGTTTTGTGAGTAAGTGAGGACATCATTACTCACTGAGATGAAATTTCAATTTTGAAATAAGTTCTCATTGTTTTCATTAGCAAACAAATTACTTCGTAATAAACCTTCAAGAAACATCGAGGTATCAGTACAGGAATTCATATGCCAAGAGATGCCAATAATATTCAGTTCACTGTTATGAACATGATGACAAGAAAAATATTCATTTTGTCAACCTAAATCACTATTGATAGTATATGATGACTTTCGAAGTTGCTTCATCATATCATTATTAAATCTGTTCTATGTGCAAAAGTATTTCACTGAATTCATGCTGACAAGTAAGGTAAGTAGCATTTCGTAAAAGCATCTGGTTTCAAAAGTTTCTCAAAATGTGTGAGCATATGTATTTAATATAAAAGATTTGCACTCAGTTTTTTTTGAGTTCACAGAATAAAGTCATTTTTAACTTCAGTTCCAATAATAGCATCCATCTGCAATAGTTTTCAGAGTATGATGAAGGGTAGTATCACATTCTAAATATATGCTCATTTGAAAAAAACCCATCAATCATCAACTAATATTATGGGTTGTTGAGAATCATCAGGAAAAATTAAAGTCAATTCATTCATTCTTTTGGCAATAAATGAAAAATTAGTTATTCTCCTAGTCACTTTGTAAATTATTGTTTACCGAGTAAGATAAATAAAGTCCAGTTGTTTGAAACTGTCATTTTGTCAGCGTGATAGCAAAACAGATGAAAATTTGTTAGTTCTGTTTTCCCCTTCAGATTTCCACAAATATGAATGGAAATGTGTACAAGCTTTAATCTACTCATCAACTGTTCAGTGAAACTGATCTATTATCAGCATTTCAAAAATTTCACAACTGTTTTCCTCGAGAATTAAAAAATAAACTTTAATAGTCACTTAACTAATGGCAATATTATTGGCACAGCTGGGAATTTTCAGCATGTGGTACTGCAACATAATTATTTCTTTTACAAAATTTTCAGTAGAACTGAATACAGAAGTTAAATACAATTATAATTGAAGCTAAGAATAAATGAGTAACTTGGAATGAAATGGCTGTTTCATATCTTTGAAAAATTAATGACTAGGTTCTGATTCAAAATTTTTTTTTCTCACGAGATGCGTCTCAAATAAGGTACAATTTAGTTTTTATGTTGAGCCGTATAAGCCTAAAGTCTTAAAAAATTGCCTATTGTCCTGCCTGAAAAGATATGAAGAGAAACATAGGACTAAACAACATGCTCAGAGTCTCATAGAACAACTGTTACCAGTCACCTGCGCAGATTTGAAACTGGTCGACTTCACTGTCAATCATTCCAGCTAGAGATATACTGCTAACGTTACTTTAAAGCTTTTAAAGACTTAGGCATTGTTATACAGTCTTTTTCAGCTGCCTAGAAAAGAATAAGTAGAGAGAAAAAAGAAACGGGTTAAACATGTACGTTAATAAACAACAAATGTAGAAGCTGAGGCGTATCGTACACAGAGTTTCCTAATCAAATAATAAGTTTGAACGAAAGATATTTTGAAGTCAACAAGATATAAGATGACAAACGAATATTTGTAAAAATCATATTATACAAAAAGGTAATATTTTTATTTACTTTTACAATATTCCGATATTTATTTCACATGCGGCTGAAGAAATTCTCTCAAGTCAATTTTTGGCGTGAGACTATGTGTTTAGCTTAATTCCGTTTGAAGAAAGCTGCAGGTTAAACTCAGGTCATAAATGTTCGTTCAAAAACGATTAAACTGATACAGGAGCTGATACAAGACTGATAAAAGAGCTGTCAGGTCACCATTAATTTTAGCGGAATCAGGTAAATTATTTCGCAAACGAAGAAAATGTCAAGAGACAAAGTATAGCACCTCGAGGTACGCTGGTTCCAGTAACGAGTGAAGAATATCGCTTCCTGACGGTAACGATGAAAATGAAACCAATTTAAAGCCCGGAGCTCGGTAAGTGTGATAACAAGCTTACAGACAAATATGGTATAGAAACAACAAGGAAGGAAAATACTCTGGAAAGCCTTATCAACAATACCTATTACCACTCTCTAAACTATTAATAATTTTATGATGCAAGAAAATGACAGTATCCAAAATATTTTAAGTGTGTTTCTGAGGAAATTCTTTCAGATTTTTAAAAGCCTTGAAAGAAGGTTAAGTCAGAAATATACATACTTTCCCCATTGTTTTCAACAAAGTAGAAGTTGTTTCAGTAAGTTCAAATTTAACATTTGATCTAGAATATGACATGGGTTCAGATAAAATTTCACTTACTCTTCAAGAGCAGTAATTTATTTGTCGAAAAACTATAGGTCGAAGGTATCCATCAAAAAGCAAGAAACCTAGGTCTACGGCTTCTGCCTAGTTGCCCCTATCTAACTAATATCTATCGAAGTGCAAAGTGTGTTGAGTTGAAAAGCCTGGGGGCTACATTGCAAAATGATCGATATAATTCGATTAGCCATCCCATGAAAAATCAGCGTACTTGTAACCTGTGCTAGGTATTTCAGGAATCGTCATTTAATATATTGTCGTTTGTTCTAGAGTGTGTTTGCAATCTGTCGTGACTTCTTTCTCTTATATTGTTTTGAAATTGAAGAAAGGCAGACTAATTTTTACACTCAGAATGATGTTGCAACTAACAATTTGGTAACTTTTGAAACCAAAGATGTAATCCACTATGTAAGCACAAAAAACATAACTCAAGAAAAGCGAATGCAGTAATTAGCAGGAAGAGGAATGCTTTACAATGAGTTTGGAATTTTACTGAACGAGAAGTAGGCAATGCAAAGTAAGAATTTAGAGTTCACACATTAAGATCGTGTTTGTTTATATAATCACATAAATCATGCATGGCGTTCACTTGTCTAAAGCTTACCACACATGAAAGAAAATAAAGCAGATTAGATATCCAGCTTTGCACAACCGAGTTTCAGTAGATTATTTTATCAGGGGATACATATGAGTGATGGAACAGTGTGGAAGAGAGCTATTTGATGAACTTTATTCCGTTAACGAAGTGAGTAGTTCAGAGTTCAAACTAGCAGTTATTTCGACATTGGTGATACACTCTGAAGAGGCACTGAAAACTTCGTTTTGTTGTAAACATCAGGATAACACAAATTTCAGTTTGGTTATCTTGATAAAAGTAGGTCTGTAAGTCGCGCGAAAGTGTAAATAATTTCATAGGCCACATAACATATAGCGTTGGCCTACAAGTGTATGTAAAGCGAATTGAAGCACTAGGCAGCAAAGCGTTGCAAATGTATTCGATTATCAATGAGATCTGAGTGATGATGTAGAATAAACTAAATGTTAGAAGTTGCACATCACTGATCGGGTTGTTCATCAGTCGCAGCTCAAAAGATCTTTCAAAATGTCTGTGATAAAACACTGTAAGAGAGGCTAATGATTAAGGAGTAAAAGTTTAAGCTTGCAAACACATTTCTTTTGGTGAATGTTTAGATCATTCTTGGGTTTCTGTCGTCCATCTCCATCAACCAAGCAGTCGCCTAAACACTGTTTCTTTATTTTTTAATTTAGTCAGTATAGATTGCTCGGTAGAAGTTTTTTGTTTTCATAAATAGCATTTTAGCAAATCAAGAACAACAAGTTTTATAGAATACCATGATTTCATTGTATTTCGTCTTCTTTCCAACTGCATACAGGCTCCATATTAGATTTGTTTATTTGGTTTATATGACATCATCAAGTAAATAATACTTTACCACTGTGTCACAAATCAAATTAACAAATCTAATGTGAAATTAAATTGTACCACAGTGTCCAAGTTTTATGCATATATTAATACATATAGGCTGTTGAAACTGAGATACAAACATAGTAATGCAATCCACAGACTAAAGGTATTGAAAAGATGATAGTTTATTCATGTAGGATAGTGAAAGAATTGACACATTTCGGGGAAGTTGGAATGAAATAAATTATTTTTACTAAAGTCAAAGCTATTTAGTGTTTATAAAGTCAACTTATCATTTCTCCATTTACAACCTATCAAGGAATG